CACATCAGTCCCGAAATCTACTGTTTATAGGCTGAAAAATATACTTTTTCTCCAAAATTACGATTTTACCACAAAACATTTCAAGTTGATCCATATGACTACCCTAAGGTTTTTCGACGTTTCAGATTCATTTGTAATGTTATTTTAGCCTAAAAATATTTAGTTTTGTTATTTATCTCAAAACTAAGGTTAATTTACACCAAAAACACTAAATTTATTATTTTACCTCTCCGAATCGCTGTATGAGCTAAACGACTATTCCAAGTTTTTCGGACATCTCGAATTCAACAGTAATGTTATTTTCAGTTAAAAATATTAATATATTTACTTAGTTACCCTTATCAACCTTAAACACCTCTAAAAATTAAATTTGACTCAAAAGTCAATACGTTTGTGCCTTAAACTTACGCGACTATTCATGTAACAACGATTTGAAGTTTCTCTCATCATTTTAATCATTTTAAAAATACTGGCAAGTTAATATCATGTATATCTATATAACACATGGGATCTAATATTTAAATCATCTAATATACATTCAAAATGCCCTTAAATTTCTTCAAATGAATATTCAATTCATCAAGTTAATATTCAATTTTATACAATTAACAATAAATTAATCAAATTAACATTTAGTTTCATCCAACTAACATTTAATTCATCAAATTATCACCAAAATAATCAATTTAAAATTTGATTCTTGCTTTTTGTGAAATTGCATTTTGAATTGATGAAATTAAATATTAATTTAGTGGTTATTTGATGAATTGGATCTCAACCAAAAGAAATTGAATGTCAAATTCACGAATGTTAATGTTAATTTGATAAAATTGACTGTCAATTTGGTGTTAATTTTATGAAATTCAATTTTAAAAAATAAAATTGAACATTAATTTTGTGTTAATTTGAAGAAATTAAAACTTTAATTGATAAAATCAAATATTAATTTATGTTGATTTAATGAATTGAATCTTAATCGAATGAAATTGATTGTCAATTTGATGAATTTTGATATTAATGTGATAAAATTGACATTTAATTTAGTGTTCATTTCATGAAATCGAATGTTAATTTAGTATTGATTTAATGAATTGGTCATCAAATTGGAAGCAATTGACGATTAACTTGATAAAATTGTTTGTCAATTTGGTATTAATTTGATGATATTAAATTTTAATAAGTAAAATTGAAGGTGAGTATGATGAAATTGAATTTTGACATGGTAAAATTCATGGTCAATTTAGTGTTAATTTGGTAAAATTAGATTTTAATAAATAAAGTTGACAGTGAATTTGAGATTAGTTTGATGGAATTAAATTTTGAATTGATGATATCTAATGTTAATTTAGTGTTGATTTAATGGATTGGATGAAATTGAATGTTAAATTCATAAAATTTTATGTTAATTTGATAAAATTGGCTATTTGTATGGTGCTAAATTCTGAAACTATAAATAAATTAAATTGAAAGCTAATTTTTTTTTAATTTGATGCAATTTAATTGTAATTTGATAAAATAAAATGTTACTTTTTTGTTTATTTAGATGAAATTAAATTTTAAAATTTGAAATTTCAATATTAATTTGATAAAATTAAAAGTTAATTTGGTTTTATTTGGATGATATTGAGTTTTAATAAATAAAATTTAAGGTGAATTTATTATTAATCTGATGAATATGAATTTTAAATTGATGAAATTGAATGTTAATTTGGGGTTAATTTGATAAATTTGTGAGATCTCATATTTCATATAAATATAAATGCTATTAACTTGATAATATTTACATAAAATAATTAAAATGATGAGAGAAACTTTGAATCGTTGTTAAAAGAATAGTCGTGTAAACTTGATGTACAAACGTATTGATTTTTGCGTTAAATTTAATTTTTGGAGGTGTTTAAGATTGATAAAGGTAACTAAGTAAATATATTAATATTTTTAGATCAAAATAATATTACCATTGAATCCAGAAGGTCTGAAAAACTTTGAATGGATACTTAACTTATATAGCGGTTCGGAGGGATAAAATAATAATTTTAGTGTTTCGGGTGTAAATTAACTTTAGTTTTGAGATAAATCATAAAACTAAATGTTTTTAGGTTAAAATAACATTAAAAATGAATATGGAATGTCGAAAAATCTTAGGATAGTCATATGGATCAAAATTAGAATGTTTAGTGGGAAAACTATAATTTTAGAGAAAAAATATTTTTTTCAGCTCATGAACAGTAGAATTCAGGACTGCTAGGTTTAAAACCCAGATTTCAGCCCCTTTTCTTCCATTTTTTCTCACATATCTCACCCAAAACTCCCTCACCCATCTTAGAACTAGAGAGTGAAAGAGAGAAGAATGGCTCTAGGGCTTGAGCTTGGCTTGAGAATCTCGGAGATTAAGCTTGGAATTTTGATTTCTAGGTGGGGATTCCTCTTTTTTGCATTTACAATGTACATCTCGTTTATTTTCTTTAGTTAAAACTTACTATGTGTTGGATGACAAAATTACTTGTTATAAATCTTGATTTAGTGTTGAATATGTCATGGATTGTGAACTTACATGCATAAAAATGATTTTTGTGTTATGAGTTTGAAAACTTAGTTTGATTTTAGTTATGGATATTTGATTAAATCTATGATTTTTGGGTTTTGAAGTATGCTATGGCCTTATACATAATATATATTACATATTCTCTTGGAAATAAAAATAATTTTGTGGTGGGTTTGAAACCCTAATTTGATTTTAGTTATGGGTATTTGATTGAACTTATGATGTGGGGGTTTTGAAGTATGCTATGATTTTGTACATAATATATATGACTTATTTTCTTGGAATTAGTTGTGTTGCTTTGAAAATGCAAATTTTGAGATTTGAGTATACTATATGTTTGATAAAATGTCAAGGTTATGACATGAGTTTTTAAAAGGATTTATGAATATAGAAAATAATGATTTTTAGAAAATATATGCTCAATACTGACAGGTAGAGGGTTAGTAGACGGTTGGCCTATGGAGTGGGTTGTCAAGACGGCTACTAGTCCTAAAGAGGATTGGTTATGGTAGTGGTTTTCGGTTATGGCCTATGTGGCATCACAAGTTGTGCCCTACACATTCCCCTTAAAAAGTAAGAAGGGCGATGAGACCCTAGAGTGCAACACCCAAAAGGTTCCCCGGGGATGGTTCATGTGTGAACCAGTGTGATTGACTACATTATCCGTATGCGAGGCATACATGGTATTTGCTATGATGGTTGGGCTTTAATTTATACCTTGCATATTTCTAATGTTGAGGTGTTGGGAGATTTTTATAAATGTTTTACTTATTATCTTATACATGAGCTCAGCCTTATGCGTTTGATAAACCCCACATTCCCGTATGAAATTTCGAACTCCACCCTTCATTCCCTTCCAATAAAAACTAGCTCTAATGCGAGGTAATATCCTATGAGGGCCCTCATGTGTGGTGGAATGATACTCATGTATTATGGACGGAAATAAAGAAGATTTTTCTCTTAGATAATTCAGTTTTTAAAGAAAAGAATACCTTCTTTGGAACACCCATGGTCTGAGTGCCTCCCCCTCTAAGATTTTCTTGACCAACTCTTGTAATTCAGCCTCATGTTTCACTTCAGTTATAATAGGCTCTAGCCAGTGCAGAATTGGTTGAGAGAGAGCCTTCAATTCGACTTCGAATCTTCTTGATAATGCATCTGCCAGCGAGGTCTCCTTTCCTCTTTTGTACTCTATTTTGAAATCATATCCCATCAATTTAACTAGCCATTTTTGTTGGGTTGTAGTGGTAATTGTTTGATCCAAAAGGTATTGTAAACTTCATTGATCCGTCCTTACTACAAATTTAGAGCCTAACAAATATGGTCGCCATTTTTGTACTGCACTAACTATGCCAACATTTTCTTCTCATAGGTTGAGAGGGTTAAGCTTTTTCCCTTAAGGGCTTGGCTAAAGAAAGCAATAGGCCTATTTTGTTGCATTAAGACTGCTCCAAGGCCTGTACCTGATGCATCATACTCCACTACAAAAGACCCTTGTGTCATAGCATTCTTGAGTTTTCTGAAAGGACTCTTTGGCTGGTGATATATCCATATCAATTGGAGGGTCCAATGGTTCACAAAAATTCTTCTGTATACTTGGTACACGAGATTCATATCTCTTTTAGAGTAATGGGAGGGTCAAATATGCAGTCTTGTTAGCGCATGTAGAGTCTGCAACTCAAATCCGTGACGTGTTGATATTTTCACAATTGTAGTATAAAAAATAATTTTGCGAATCCTTTTTTTTCCTTCTTGTGATAGTGCTCTTTAATTGTTTTTAAATTCAACGTAAAATAATTAGATACAATTAGTCATGTCTTTTTTAAAATAATTTTTTTAAGTAAAAAAATATTTATTACTATAGTTTATGAAGTTTATATAGATACCTCATAATTTATAGGATAAATTACACTTTGTACCTTGCGAGATTTTAAGATTCTCATTTGATATCTTCAACAATTAAATTTTTCACATTACACCCTCAATGTAACCAGAATGTTGTGTAATGTAACATTTCTGTTAGTTTTTTCGTCAGTGTCAATGAATTGGCTTTTGAAAAGTAATACAAGTCTATGCATGCCTTATACATCAACATATAGGAGATTAAACTGGAAGAAAGATATTACACTTGGACAAGGGAAAAAAAACCATCTTATAAAAATAAAAAAAATAAAAAAAAGATGATGCAAAACTAACTTAACAACTCATATCACAATCGACTTTTATTTGAAGTTCTTCAGTTCAACACTCAGGAGACAGCATAAAGATACATAATTGCATGAAGGACCAACAGTAGTATTTTTCAAGAATTAAACAAATGTTTACCTGACAACCCATGTTATTCAGATCAAAGAATACAGATTCTTCAGTAAAATGAATCACCAATTTCAGAGAGTTAAACCCTAACCCCCCACCCCACACCAAAAAAAAATAAAACTGGAAAGAAAGCCTTTAATTAGTTGATAAAGGCACAGCGTTTCCTGATTTCACCAGACTTACCAGTAAGAACCCCAATCTTACCCATCTTCACCATGGCAGGTCCAAAGTCTTTCAAAAAAGTGGATCCACTTGAAATCTGACTCAGAACATAAGCTTTTGTTTCACTGTCTGAGAGAAGAGCTCCATCAGATTGAAACAGTCCTCTTCTTTTACTTACTATACTGTAATAATGAGTGTCAAATGTTTTGCGGCTTCCAGGATCCATCTCAACCAGCGTAGTCAAATCGCCCGGTTTACATATTTTTTTCAACACAGCTGCATAGTTCGGATCAATTGTTGGGTCAGTGTCACCTTTGCCAGTGAAGTTGTACAATCGGATCGTGACGGCGGGAAAGCAGTGAGAGATCCCTATGGTATGGGCTCCTGTAAGAACAAGTATACATGAGTCAAGTTAAAATTTGATATAGAAAATTATTGATCCTGGAGGACTTTGATCTGTAGTAAGTTTTACTTTACCAGATAGAACTGCAAGGTCTTTTACACTCAAACCCTTTGAGGCAAAAGATGCTTGTAGTTGAGTTATATTGGAAAATGGAGATGGTAAGTTATTCAAGGCATTTTGGGCCGTTGACACTCTTCCATCCCTTCGTCCCGTGGGCACTGGCCAATTTGGTCCTTTGATCTGGAAGAAAATCACAGGTTTAGTTAATAGTTGCATAAATGTTGGTTTAAAATAATATAGGTATCATTTCGTAACGCTTTATAGGAAAAAAATTTTCTTAAAAATTTTTATTTAAAATAAAACGTTATCAAATGATATATAGTAACTAGTACTAGTGTATGGTATTTGGTTACCATGGAAACTGCATCTCGAGCAACTAAGGCCAAGATGTCAGCACAAGAAACAACTCCAGGACACTCTTTTTCTACTGCAATTTTGACACCATCAATCACTTGAAACCCTCTTAAACTTAAGTCGGGGGCTGAATCTTTCTCGGCTACGTTGTTCTTGGTGGAGTTTATGAGAACAGAACCATCACATCCCTGCAACCAAAATGTGTGAAAGATTCATCATATAAAACTATAAACTATAATCAGGGTTGGGAAGAACATATTATATATATATTTGTTATTGTTATCGCAAAGTGACTGATCTCATGTTTGAACCCAATACCTCAAAAAAAAAGAATAAGAAAAATGCAAAAACAAACAGAAAACATATGATTACGTTAACAAAACAGTCATGAAAATGCATTCTTAGCAATGCAGGGGCAAGGCTTGGTGCTCGAGAGATGTATTGAGCTGTTGTGTTCTTGATAATGGCCTCGGCGGAGGGGCAGGTCTGTTGGTAGAAACCAACTTTCAAGCCTTGAGCATTTGCAAGATCCAAGACAAAAAAGACAAGAGTGAGGTGAAAAAAGATGAGAGAGAGAAGCTCTGGACTTGTCATTGTCTTCAACCACGAGCCAGTAATATATTTGATTCTGTGCTCTGAAATGCTAGAAAACACATCAAACACTAGTATTTATAGTTAAGCTGAGGGTTCAAGATCAATACCATGCTGCCATTGACACGGTTCAGGAAGTCATTGTTAATGTCAATTTGGTATTGCCTGAAATAAAATTGTTGACTTCTAACAAACTTTTAAAGAACTCTTAATTTTGAAGCTGGCAAGGCTTCATATTTAATTTTCACAACCTATCTCAATCAGATAGAAGAAAAAGAGAAAAAAAAAATCAGTAAGAGATAGAAGCTCTACCAATTATGTGTAAGAGATAAATGTAAACTGGTGAAAAAAAACTAATTAACCATAAATAGTAACTCAAACGATAACAGAGACGAATTGTAAATTTAAATATTTTGAGTTTAAATTTGTGCAATCTTTTAGAACCAGGTCATAAAGAATTGTCCTAATTATGATGTGGTAATTACATTGGCTAAACCCGAATTTTGTCTGACTAGGGAGACTCGAATTGAAGACTAGAGAGATTACAATTTACTCATCGTTCAATCATTGAACCAACCTCTATCTATAGGTTAAAACATCCCTAATTCTACTCTCTTAACAACTAATAGGTCTTAAAATATAGTTGCTGGGTACAATACAGAGGTGTCATGTCAGTAATTGTAAGTTCGTGAGTTCTAACGTACAAAAATTATGTTGTGCAAATAATATCAAATTTTAGGTCTATCCTGAATTCATCCCTCTTAAAACCCAAGACTATATGGGTGTTAAACTGGGCGATAACATTCTCTTGCTACCTTATATTAATAAGTAAATTTTATTAGATAAAGGATTAATGATTTGATTACCTAAGTTAATATCCATGAAGTTAATGCTCCGTTTGGTAGGATGAATGAAAAATAAAAATGATTAATTTATTTTTTTTGTGCTGGTTAAGATTAGGGGTGACAATCGAGTCGTCTTATGTCAAATTCGTATTGAGTCATGGTGGATTTGTATCAAACATTAATCAAACCTAACTCAACTCATTTAACTAATTATGCCGTATCAAGTTGACTTATTTATTTTCGTATTGTTTTCGTGTTCGTGTTGACCTACATAAATTTTGAATAAAAAATTTATTGCTAATATTCTATTTTCACTTAATTGAATTTATGTTTATATTTTTTTTACAAATTAAAAATTAACTTAAATAAATATAATAATAATAATAAGTAAAAATATCTTTTTTATATAATAATTATATCAGTGCTTAATAAATAATTATAAATAATTAAAATTTTATATCTATAATACTAATTAAACATGTTGACAGGTTTATATTTCTTGTTTGTGCGTCAGGTCTTTTTTTAGTTTGAGTCGAGTTATAATTAAGTTCGTGTCATAAAATTTGTGTCAAGTTCGAGTCATGTCATCGTGTTGAGTCAAAAAATTTCACCCCTAACTAAGATGGAAAAATTATTTTTTTATTTTAATTTTAATTTTTAATTTTTTAATTTTTATTTTAAAATTTATATTAAAATATATTTATACACACATATTTTATCATTGTATTTTTATATGAAATTAATGTATATATAATAAATGTATATATAAAAAGATATATATACAAATAAGATACATTCCAACACAAATAATTAATTTTTCATCCATTTTCTTTTTAATTTTGAAGGGATTGATTTTGGTGAATTAGAAAGAAAGTTAATTCATCAATTTTCTATTTTTTCTATTTTATTTATTTATCAAACATGATATTTTATTTATCACTCTAATTTATCATCATTTCAACTTTTTATTGTGTCAAACGGAACATAAGGGTTTGAATTTGGCATGCAGTCTAATGCTAGAGGGTAATAACTAATAATAAATGGGAAGGACACCTTTGCACGGCATATGGTTGACTTTATAAGTAGCGTGGCTAAACGTGTGTTAGGTTATAGGAACCTTAGTTGTATAATGCTACAGATTGAGTTGATTTAGAAAGGCCAACTGGAGTCAATCTTTGATCTCTCGTTATCTTCAACAGCTCCCAACTTCCAACACCGAGAGAGAGAGAGAGAGTGCTATACAATTCGAACAGAGAATGAGTTTTAATGCACTGAAAAATGGTGATAACGTAGAGGTCATGTAAATTTAATAGATTAAGGGCATATTTGGTACGTAAGTTTAGATAAGATTTAAGAGATAAGTTTTGTGAAAATAGTTCAATACATTTTTTAAATTCATGTTTGATTCAAAATTTGAGGCTTAGGATACATAAGATAAATGAATCCCGGGCCGCTCCTAGCCCATAGTGAATAGTTGATTAAAACTCACAAATGGGGTTTTAATGAAATCTATGGAATGGGTTTAAAAAATGAAAGATTGGATTTGAAGACAAAAATACTAATTTACCCAAAAATTAATTTTATATTCACTTAATAATGGACATTTTAATAAATTGAATAATATGATCTGACATAAATCCATAGACCCACCTCACATATATTTGTATCACTTAAACATACAAAGAGATTGAATAAGATTTTTTTAAATCTCATGTACAAATCGTTGGGGCTGGGTTTACGAAAGTTTTATAAATTCAATCCAATCCCCCCAAAAAATAAACGTCCAAATAGATCCTTAGAGAGATGATTTGGAGATAAAATATTCATTGCAATAGTGACACTATGTTATCACCGCTACATGATGTCACCATCTAATTAAAAGACAACAAATAAATAAATTGAATCTCACCAGTCCTATATGTTGTTGATTAGATGTAGTTGTTATTGGTTGTTATGAAAATAGTAGGATTTACTTTATTTATTTGTAGTCTTCGAACTGAATGATGACATCATGTAACGGTGATGACATGATACCACCGTTACATTAAATATTTACTCATTTGGACGGCTAAACAGACATGGTGAGAGATAGGGACATAATGCTAAGAGTAATAGCATTACTCTAATGCAACTAAGATGGTCATTGTATATGTAATATCCCGACCTGCATGTCTGGGCAACTTGGTATTTTTATCTCTCCTCGTCCATTTTGACCCTATATAGAACATGTTTTATCCCGACATTAAGGCTAAGACTGAATTAAATTAGTCTGATAGTTACTTAGTATTATGTATGGATCATGTTATAATATCCCCTCCAGTTAATGCTGGCCGAAGTCATGAAGACAACTATACCTGACAGATGATACAAAGAAATTCCATGTGACAAACGGCATAAAATCAACCTTGATTAGTGTTTGGATAAAACATTACATAGTACACCTAACTTGGTTTTGGAAGGGCGGTTTCACCTTTTTTAACTTATATATATATATATATTAATGTCCGATTCAAACATAGGAGTTGATACTAAGAGAAATAACCAAACTTATCTCATCCTTGAGCAAGTAGATCGATCGACTATTATTAATCCAATGATTGTGATGAATTGATCAATAAATTAGGTCTAAATATATTATCAATTTTAAAAATGAATTGCAAAAATAATTAGCTACTTGTGTGGAGATTACGTATTCCAACTAGGGTAGTGATGTATAGCAGCTGACGTACAACAAATTGCCTCACATTTTATGCAGCAGTTGGGTAGTCAGAAATCATAAAAATGTAATAATAGGCTTGACCTTCAAGACTCATGGTTTTGCTACAAATTTTGCAGATTTATGCAGAATTATATCTTTTTTAGCCTTCAAATTCGAAATATTAGGCAATATTCTTATACCAAAGTTATAACTTTGCGATAGAGGTCGATCAGAATCGATAACTAACGATTCTGCTTGAGTCTAGGCCTTGTGATTGCTGTCTTTCACATTTAGTTTTGATCTTTTCACTTGTCATAATCTTCCTTTACTTCTCTTAGTTATGTGTTTTGCATGGATTACTCTATCATCTATTCAAATATCACACACACTCATAAATATGTATGCATGGCTCCACACAAAACAGCTAGTTGATTTAGATATTACATTTGAATTAAGAGATAAAAATTATGTTCTGCTTTCCTGTTGAACCCATCTTTTCCGGGTAACCAATAGGCATCTCACATATCAACAAAACCATTAAGAAAATAAACTACTGATAGAATTCAAAGATAACTAAACCACACCCGGAAAAGATGGATTCAGCAGAGAAGCCGGACACAATTTTATCTCTTGAATTAATCTAATTAGTTGGGTTTACTAAAAAAAGCATTCTATATATATCTCAATGCCTGCCAGATACAGAGAAGGAAGCACCGTCCATAAAAACAACTGGTTCGAACGTGCCAAAAGAGATCTGCATAAACATGTGGTAAATAGCCCAATGGAATCTCCAATCTATATATGATTAATCCATTAATTAAATATCCACTAATTAATTAATTAAATGGACAACTTGCATTATTAATCACTCTTCTTGGTGATCAACGAATACTTGTTCAACTCCAAGATCCAACAAGTATATGATTAAGCTAGCTAATAATTTTTGGGAAACAATATGCCAAAAAGCCTACTCTAATGCTGATTTTGTGCTGTGTTAGTTATATATATAAACACTTCAGAAAATCTATAGATGTTAATTAAATATTTTGTGTTAATCCTTCTTCACCAAAATTATCGAGGGGATTTTTCTTATTTGCATTCACACCTTAATGATTGAGAGTTTTTTTCTTAATTAATACTAGTAATGTACATATGTAATGCACGTGAATAGTTTTCATATACAAAAAAAAAATAAGTATATGTATACCTGAATTAAATATCATTGTAAATTTATCAAATTTATTTTTTCGTCGTTCATATTGTTTTTTCATCGTTCATACTTTAATATAGAATTATAAAAATTGGCTTGTTCCCAAAGTTTGTTGTTCTAATTATAAGAAAAATTAAAAAAAAAAAAAGAAGAAGAAATAATTAAAGTTATATTTTTTTTAGAATTTTACAATTGAGAGTGATTTATTAGTGATTTTAAAAAATTAATTTTTTTGAAATACATTTTAGAG